AGGGAATGTCAATCGTGAGACACAAGAGGAGCTGAGTATACTACTATCAGGAAAAATACTGGCGAAATGGTGTTTGAGGTCAAAGGGCATTCCTGGAGTGGTCACTGAGCATCGGGTTCTGAGCGAGCAAGGAGGGGGAGCATCCTTGTTTTCAAGAAAAAGCTAATATTGATGAGGAAACTTAAGCTCTTGAGGGTTGCCTGGTTTTTGGAACTGCCATGGATTTAGGTTTTCAAACATGGTGGCCCTGTTATCCGATATGGGGAGATGCTAGAGATGGTAGAAGTTTTTTTTTTTTGAACAGTAGGTAATTGGTTTGCTTGCCTTGGTGACTGATGTAGTGATATTTGCCCTTGTGGATAAAAGGCAGAGTGACGTTGCTGCTTTCTTAACTTCCGGGACAGCATTGTACTTGCTGATGCAACTCAACTAGATAACTAGGACAGCCATTTCTGACGATTGACAGCTCAAATTAGATCAGAATAGAAATGCAGGAGTACTATTATTTTTGCATCACACTTCACCGAACCAGAGAGTTGAGCTTTTGACCCAGGTGCCGTGAGGACTGCATCAGGGCTGAAAGGTGATGGTTATCGACCATTACGCTAAAGTGGCTCAAATTGGGTGGCCCAATACACTTTGATAGAGCATGAAATGGAAGCTGAAAATTTTATGCAATGCAGGATTTTCCAGTCAAATACTCTCCCTCGAGGAGAGGTTTTGAGAAACAGAGTTCTCCTTTGAGAGATTATGGTGGCCTGAAGGGGGGAGGTGGTATTAGGTAGTTTTAGTTTGTGTAGATTTGGAGGGGCAATTGTGTGCCCTGGAGGCCTTAAGATTCCAGCAGATTAATTGGATCATGATACTTGGTATGCTCGTACGAGCACTCTGGGAATGTAAACTTACAGTTGCAACAAAATATGGAGAGGTTGAGGGGGTGTCTGGTTGTATGATACAGTAATACGAATTCTCCATACTTGGGCGCAAATTGAGTACGGTAATATAAGTTACCTGAAATATGCGTAGCAGTGAGACCCTCCCTCAATGATCTCCCCTCATTGATCCCGCAGCTACCTTCTGCCATAGTAGCAACCTCATTCATAGAATTTCACTCCATACTATTTTTAAATGATCAAACCGTGAATCTTTAAATCTGGTACAAATAAACCCATAACCCATTCATATGTGAAGTTTCGGTTTAGATGCAAGGAAGTAGGAACAGGAGTAGTGTACTTGTCCCGTCATGATGTTTGCAAAATAGACTAGACTTACATAGTGGTACAAGGAGGTGTATATCAGTATGTAGAAGCCTTATAATAATACTGAATATCAATTAAGTACTTCAAGTGGGAGTTGAAGAAAGTCTGTCAAACTCAAGCACTGAGACCATTACAAGTACAGTTATTGAAATTACATATTGTCACATGAGAGTAATTTTAACCTGTGGACCAATTACATTAAAGATATTCTATTGTTCCTATTTTATTTGTGACTTCAGTTGGATTTACATTACCTTAATTCAAAAAATATAGCAGAAGTTTTTATTTGAGAGATACCATAGAAGAAAGTCTTGCCAATGAGAATTGTTAATTACAAGAGTAGACTGCAAGGTTGGAAAGACTCAGAGAGTTGAAAACAATAGAGAAATTATACATTTCAATGAAAAATGTCAAACTACCTATACCACAGAAAGTGAGAATACTAATGGAGTTGAGGCTACCCATACCAGGTATATTCCTCATGGTCAAATGATATTACCTTTCTCCCACTCTTTAATCCTTTTCTTCTTTCCTCCCTCCACTACTTGTATAACTATCTTTTCAAAACCTCTCCTCCCAAAAGAGAAAACAGAGTAGAGGCAGCTTTAAAAATTCATTGAAATAGGAGACAGGAGTGAAGGAGGTAGAAGTAGTGCTACAGCACATTGGAATTGTGACTTGTAAGAGTTCAAGGTAGTTGGTCAAGGTAAGAGAGAGGGATAAGAGGTGTAAGGGAAGAAAATTATCTACTATGATAGTTACTAAAATGATGATAATAAGAGGTAAACAGAAGGTGATTAACCTTTACAAGTCAGGGACATGTATAGCTAGATGCTGGTATTCTGTTAAGAGATTTGCAGTAGTATAGCCCTTAATGGAGTATTAGTATTCAGAGAAATAATGTCCACCATCACAGAACTTGCAAGCTCCACTTCCTCATTCAGTACTGACTGAATACCATCATGTCATACCAGTTCAAAGTAGCCTCAACAGCTGGGATAAACTCCACCACAAAGGCAACAGAGTCCTGCACATGTTTGCAGGAGGATTTGCAGGGTGATGCTGCCTTTGATGATATGATCTGTGATTTAGAGGTCACTAATCTGGGGTTTTATTTTGTTGGGCACTCTGACAGGATTGAGAATCTTGCCTCTCTTACAAGTCATACATTCAAACTATACCAACACCAAGGGAGATGAAGGGAAGTTGAGATAACAAGACCTTAATCTTTTTGATATGTAGGGCAATCAAGAACCTACTCACCCCAAGTGCCATACAGGCCCACTCTAGGGTCAGAATTGTTGCCCAAATGCTGGCAGCCAAGTGCTGAACCAATAAGAGGAAGAGGTCATCCACAGTACAATGGGTAACACAAGTCCCAAAGTGAGCACCAAGCTTGCCAGTGACCAAGACCTTGTTAACAGAGTTCTTAAGCATCTTGGTGTTGACACCAGCATGGAGATGGGCCTTGACACTGTGCTTCTCAAAGTGGAGAGTGACATGGCGTTTACTCTCAGTAAGGTATAGAGTAGGGGGCGGGGGCGCAATCTTACAATTCACAAATGTAAACTCCTTCTCACCACCACCAGAGGCTGTGGCGGTCAAGGCCCATGAAGTGCTAGCAGGAGAATCTCGGGCAGGGGCGGGGATGTCAGAGGCCCTGGTGACGGCTGGAGGGTGTACGCAGGCTTCAAAGGCAACCTGGTAAATTTATTGGCAATCCTAGGCTTGGTTGCTTTGGGTCCGTTGGGAGCGTTGGTAAGTGCCGGAGCATGCCAAAGAGCAGGGACAGCCGGAGCGGACGAGGGCACAGCAGGTCTCTTACCAGCCTTGGTCCCAAGGGCCTGTTGGTGGAGCGAATCCACCAAGTCCTCCAACTCCTCCATGCGCCTATCCTGACGGTTAGTGTGGACTTTGAGCCCCGCAGCGGTCTCGGCCAAATCCAGCACCACACCGGCAAGGCGAGACATGTCCCTTCCAGCATCTACCAGATCCTGATAACGACCAAACTGGTCGATTATCTGCCGCTCATGAGGGCAGGGGACGATGATCCCTCCATAGATTCCGGGTACTTACCCTTAACCCTCAGTGGATAGGTGAAGTCTCTTATAATCTTGTATGATATACGATACTCGAAAGGCTTTACCAAAATTACCTCCGCCTTCTGATGTCTTAGTGCCCTCAAGGTAAAATTCATGTCAAACTACTTGAGAATAGTATCAACCGGTGGTAATATCGTGTAGTAATATTGTGTAGTCATATTGTGTGGGAGGAGATCCTTAATGGGTACTGCCAAAGCTCTCATCCAAATAAACTCGTACACTATTATTATTATTTACAGGAAAATGGTGGGGAAAATATGATAGTATGTCTAACTCTATCCAAGCGCTACAGTCGTTTTCTTTGCTCTTATTGAGATTCACCAAATTTTGGCGCATCTTAATGTCTAAATTAGCGGAAGTATTCTTGGCGAAGAGGCGCGAGTACATTCCAGAGACTTTAAAAAACGGCTAGTAATCGAGTATAAGAAGCATACCCAACAGAGTAAAATCAGGCATCATGAACGATCACTCTGTGCAACTACTCCTGTTTAATAGCATCCTGGATGATCGCACTCTCCCTCTTTCTCACTAGCGCTAATCGATCGGCGCTCCCAATTCTTGGCCCGCCACCATCATTTTCAGACCCCTTCTAATTTACCATAACCGAGTACAAGTTCTCGCACGCTCGCAGTAGACTACTCGTATGATGACTTGTGTGCGTCACGGTTTTTACGTTTTTGCCGCCAAAACAGGTTGGCAGGCCGGCCAGTAACCAGCAGAACGCAGGGAACGGGTAACCTTCACAACTTGAATATTCTGTAAATTATTACCGATTGAGCCCAATTCTCCATGCAGTTTGCTACACTGATATAAAAGTAGATACAGCGCAGCAAACGCCAATGCCCTAGAATAACATGTCGCCTTTACCACCGCTGCCACCGGTGCCGCATCATAGACCCTTCCGGAACCGAATCCTACAAATCGTGCTCCTCTTAAGATTTTGCTTTTGATGGTAATTTAGCGACTTGCTCTACTCGAGCACATTGACACCTTAAGTCCTGTACCCGAGGAAGGTACCAGTCTCGGTTCCCGGCGAGGTGATCAACCCAAAAACCCAACTTTCCCCAGACTTGCTCATGAGCGCCCCATCCATCATGGTTCTGATGGCTTCAGACACTAAATGCGCAACGATGACGGCATCTGCTCGCGGAGGCGTTTTCTCGATTTCTTGCCTTCTGTCTTGTCTTGTCACTTCATCGCTGAATTGCAGGAACGATCGGTGCAGTCTACAGTGCCCTTTACTTTTACTCGAGTGCTCTACTGTACAGTACTCTTACATGCTAGTGAATATTCCAGTCCCCGCAAATTTACCCACCCTCCCAACCCTCCAGTCCATCATTACACTCACAGCTTAGACTATCCCTCACTGGTGCCCTGTTTCCTCCTTCTCTTGGTTACCTTGCTCGCTTTCCCACAGTCCTAGTAGTCCGCTCGAGTACTTAAGCCAGTGACCCTCCATGGGAATCAACTTCTCACACCCCAACCCCAATCCATAGAGACAAAAAGCCAACAGATTTTGTGACTTTACACGATACCCCCTACACAAGAACTACTATCGTACCTTGTGCTACGGATCTATTATACCCCAATATCACACGCTCGTATCGCTACCGCATCAATCACTCACGACTAATCAATCATGGATTCGAGGGTAAACAGACCCGTTGACCCCAAACAAAGGGAGAGAGATGTCGAGAACAAACTTCGACTTTACGGAATCTATAGTGGTAAGTTGCCTTTGGGATCGCAGCTCTGATTTTCAAATGTGCCAACTCTACAGCAGCCTTCCAGAACGGCAGATTGCCATCAAACAATCAAATTGACGTCGCGCTTTCCTCCCTCACAAACCATAGCAAGCTAAGATCACCCAACGAGAACCTTTCGGCGGAGGGCAAGATCATTCTCGAGGACTTCCGAACTACCGTTGAGGAAGCCAAGCGCCTTGTCTTAGTAAAGAATCATGATCAGGTTTTCCAGGAATTCATTTGGAATACAACTCAGCTTGGTGTCAAGGGAGGGCCGCAGACATCGACACCCGGCGTCCCGGTATCGAAGGAAACGGCCAACAGGGATGTTGAGCAAGCACAAGCTGGTTTCAGAACTTTGGGTCAATTAATTACCACCAATGGGTAAGTTTACGAGTGATATATTATGACCTGATGCTAATAACTCTATCACCTAGGGAGTTCCGCAAACTTCTCAATGATGCTGTTGTCCTCCTCCGCGACATTGCCGGCGACGCCGCTACCAAAACTGCTTCGCGAATTAGTCCCACCGAAGATCAGCTGAGACAGATGGACAACCCAGCACCCGACCACCAATGGGTCGATGCTCCAAACCTCTCCCGTGAAAACTTCAAGAGCCAAGTCCGCAGCCAGTTCAACCAAAACAAGCCAGTACCTCGTGGCGAAGCCGTTGGAAGTGCCACCCAAGCCACCGACCCACATGGCTCCCGTGACACTCGTGATGCTACTGCACGAACGGCCCACGACGAAAGAAAAAACCGCGATGCCGGCGGTCTGGATGCTAGCAGCGGCATTCGGGCTGGCGCAGAGGAGCTGCGTCAGAAGGCTCAGGATAATGTCCCGGAAGGACAGAAACAAAGGGTTCCCGAGCACATGGAGCGCGCCAGCAACTACATGCAGAACAAGATGCCTCAGGAGCGTCGTGAGCAAGTCATCTTCAGACTAAAGAAGATGGTTGTCGAAATCCAAAGCCACCAAGACTACCAGCAGGCTATCGACACATTGCTCGGGCTCGCAGAGACCTACACCGGTCACACCAAGGGTATTGCTAGCAACAGCACCGGAACTGTCAAGGATGCCCACCAGGACACCCACCTCCAAAGCTCTGAGAAGAGTTTAAGGGTTTGTGATATCTTCCAATATTTCTACATAACCCTGTGGCTGACCGGATGTAGGTTATTCTTGAGCGTTTTGCGAACTATACTAGCATTGAAGACTTGATCGATTCCATCAACGATATCTACCGCGACGCTAATAATGATCCGGAGCTCAAGGGTTGGTTCGGTGACGTCAACAACTACATCCGCACCTGTCTCAAAGAAGAGGGTTATATCATGCGCCATGAGTCTACTGAGCAGTACGATCGTTTGTACGATCACGGCAATTTCTTGCTTCGCAACCGCTACCGCGATCATACCGATCGTGTTGCCAATGAACTCAGATTCTTGGCCGATCAATTTGCAGCAGACCCGGAGAATCAGCGCTTCAGACAGGCCACGCAGAAGCTGTTCACTGACCTTGGAAACGACGAAAACGGCAAGCCCGTATTCAAGAAACACCTTGTCAAGGATATCACTCAAATAATCATTCCCGAGCTCATTGAGAACATTCGCTACATTCCTTTCCCCAGAATCGAGTATTCTGATCCGATGATTGACGCCGTTGTCGAGAACCTCATCATTGAATCCGACAATTTGATGCCTAATGTCTTGGAGATTGGCAATGACAATTACTTTAGATTCGGTCGGAAGACTGTTTCCAGCAAGCACAGCCACGCCGCCATGGTCTCTGCATCCCAAATCCAATGTGATATTAGAGGTAAGTTCTATCGCACCCGAGTCATGTGGATTGAACTTGTGCTCATACAAACCTAATATAGATGTCAGCTACTATATCAAGAAGAAGCAGGGATTCCCTTCCATCACCGACACTGGCGTCGCTGATATCTTCCTCGGAGGTGACGGGTTTAACTTCAGGCTTCAGCTGGCAACCCCCAGCAAGCTCGACCGTGCCCGATTCTTCAAGGTTGAGAGGGTCGATGTCAACATCAACACCCTCAAGATTAAATTGAAGAAATCGAATCACAAAATTTTCTTCGCTCTCTTCAAGCCCGTCTTGATGGGTATTGTGAAGCCTGCTATCACAAAGATCCTAGAGAAGCAAATCCGGGATAGCTTCGGTCGCCTTGATCAATTGGCATATGCCATCTACCAGGAGGAGCAGAAGATTGAACGTGACATCAAGAAGAACCCGGACCCAACGCACGTTCAGAATATCTATAGCCGCTACTACCAGGCTGCCCGGAGGGAGCTCGCCAACCGTAAGCAGAAGGCCGAGGCTAAGGTTGCCGACAAGCACGCCAACGTCGCCGTCACCCAGGACGACTCCATGTTCAAGAACATTTCTCTTCCTGGCGGCATCTCTACCAAAGCCACTGAGTACAGGGATCTCTCCAAACGCGGGGATAGATGGTGTAGTGAGGTTTTTACCATCGGCTCAGCTAGCCCAACACCAAACCTCCCGGAACCTCAGCAAATCACCCGCAAGTCGCCCCATGCGCATCGCCGCACTACTCGGGGCCGCGAGACTACCTCAGATGGTGGGGCTTCCCGGGACAGTGGATACCATGCCAACGATTACCATGGCTATGGCACTGGTACTGGTAACACTGGATTCAGCGATAAGTTGGCTGATGGCCAGCCCGACAGTGTTGGGAACCGCAAGACCGGGGAGTATTCTCTTAACAGGCCTCTTGACGAGAACTATGCTACCGGCCACTCGCGGACCACGCCGGTTGTTTAAATTTCCCCTCCCCCTTCCCTCATTCCACAGTAATGTGAACAAATATTGGAAGGATGTGTTACGGCGAAGAGTGGGAAGGAGGAGCCCGTCCGCACTCGATCTTAACTGGCTCAAACACCTTTTTGTTTAATTTCTAATTCTTTTTTTTTTTTTTTCTTTTCCCCCTTCTCTTTATTCCTCCCTCATTAAATTTTACTCTTGATATCTTTGAGAGCTAGCTCATGTATGGTATAGCTTTTTATATCTAATCTCACGTTTTCTCTTTTCTAATGGCGTAAACACCGTTAGCTTCCCGTCCTAAGGATAAGGCAAATATCCTATCCTTGTTCCGATCTTTGTTTTCCATTTTGCTCTGACGTATGTCGAAGTTTGTTAGGTTTGAATTGGTTGTCGGAGCGATCCCTACACTCGCATACTTGTGCCTCTCGCATGGTGCCTTCCTTGTCCTGTGAGATGACGGAATTCCGCAGTGAAAAGGCCCACCGATGGATGCTCATATATTTTACCCAAGTAACCCGGATGAATGGATTTCAGAGTGAGGGAGCTATTTCTCCGCGCGAAGGTCCGAATAATAATAGTAGACAAGAGTACTTGTAGATGGTCAGGCGAGCTATAATAGGTAAAATCCCTCCAAGAGGTTGAAACGCCCTACCACCACCACCACAGCTCCACAAGCAAGTGCGTGCCGTACGCGGACCACTCTATCTGAACCTTCCCCCCCATATACAGTACTCGAGCACAGTACAGTACAGTACAGTACAGTACCCACCAAAGTCTACTTCATACTCTACTTTATCCAGGTTCCTTAACTACAGGGATCCCACAACAAGCCAGCCAGCAAGCTAGAAGCACCCCCCTCTCTCGGTCGGACCACATCTTAATCACAGTCACATAGCGTACTCTAACTGGAGTGCTAGAGCATCATACCTCATGTTGCCTGACGTTACCGTGCGTGCGCAGAGTGGGAATTTCATTGATGGTAGGCTGTTCCACTGCGTCGATGGGTTTGGTTTGCCAGCTGTTCTTGGTGGCGCGGTGATTTCGATACGGGCGGGTGGTGCATGTCTGGTTTGGCCGGGTAGTTGTTGTTTCCGTGGGCTAGCTACTCGAGTACCGTATTGTATCATACTCGAGTTACTATGATATCCTATGATAACTTTGCGTAGTCCGGGTCTCGGCATCACAAGGCATCACTTGCGTTGGAAGTTGGAAAGAAAAGGTGGAAACGGTGCAGAGGTATGTATGATACAAAGGTTTTTTAACTTAAAAGCCATCATTGTCATTGTGCTATTACCTACCGTAAACAGCACAGTTCTGTACCCGTAACCGGTATTCTACTCGAGCAGTTTCAGTTGCCGTAGTACGGTACTCGAGTACTCGTACTGAGCTGCGGTGATCGGCTCCGGTTCTGCACTTTTTTTTTTCCTTTTTTTTTCTCTTTTCATTTTTCATTTTTATCGCTGATTAACCCTCTGGACCCCAATATCGCACATATGTATGGGACTTGTATGCGCAGTAGGACCACGGTTGCGGTATCCCACATCATCCCATTACCTGGCTCTCCGGGACCTTTACGAGTAGACAGCTGCTCGAGTATGATAAGTACTCGTACTATAGCTTTTGCTGGCACATGTCATGACATCTTGTACTGTACAGTACTGCGCTGTAGGAATCTAAAAGCTTCCCAATTCCTAAAGCACAATAAAGTTACGACACTTTTCGACAGCCACATCTCTCGGTGCCGCAAGTCGCACTGGAGTGTTTACCACACACCTTTAATACGGTAATACCGTGCAAGCGCAATGGGACGGGAATGTAATTGTGATAGCAAACCCTCGTTTTATGCTCGGTATAATAAAGAGAAAAGAAGAAAGAAAAAAAAGGGAGGAGGGGGGGGGGGGGAACAATCTGGTGAGGCGCATGTCACCACCCGTGCAACCTCCCCCCCTCCTCACTTTGCAGATTAGATTGTCAACCATTCTCGGCGCGAGCTGCGTACTTGTACTATACAGAGTTACGGGGGGGGGAGTTTGTTCTGAGACACGTTGTACTCGAGTACTACTCGTAGTACAAGTACCGGTACTTTAAGCGCCACCTGTGGAGACGTGCGTGTTATTATGTGCAGTACTCCGGGCACAAGTTCATTGAAGGATGAATGGGTTGATTTGATGGAAGAGGGTAAAATGCCGGTTTTAGGGGGGGGGGGAAGAGGTTTAGATTGTGCTGGGCTATGCTATGCTATGCTATCATACTTTATACTGTTTCGCGGATTGTGAATAATTCATGCTTCGTCTTGTCAAGGTCGGAGAGGCTCTCTCGCGTGCGTGATGTAACGGGTAAGACTATTACAGTACTGTGGGGTGGTATTTTGGAACCTGAAGTCGCAATGGCATGTCAAATACTCGTGTGGTGTTCTGTTACAGATCTATTTACTTATCAAAACTGGAGTGCCCGACGCCACGTTCATTTCGCTCAGGAAGATGTGTTAATTATCGTCCGCATGCCGTCAACTGCCGGTTAATTTGTATTGTTGGCGAGATTAGCTAGCATCTTGCCAGGCGTCTATAGCAGAAAATTAGGTAGAGTCGTTGTGTTTCATCAAACTGCTAAGCATCCTCGACAGCAACATGTATCTTTTTTTCTTTTTCTTCTCCCCTTTTTCCATATGCAATAAGCTAGAGTTTAAGGGAGTAGAATGGGATCTTAAGGGTATTGACTTTTGGGCATGATAGGGTTTGGAGCAGGGGAGTGAGTTAAAGTTGGGCACTTTCAGATCGGATGTGCTACAATTAAAAGGATTCCCCCACAATTGACACCGGCACATGCAAACTAGGAAACCCAACCGGAAAAATTATTTTGTCTCCCAACGGTCGTGTTATTCTGGTCTCACAGATAGGGTGAGTGAACGCCAATGCCTGCCATGCCGTGCTAGGCGTTAGCTACCGTAGGCTACCGGGCCGAGAACGAGAGAGCGGTTGTGTGTGTGTGATTTGGTAAGTTTTTTCTTCTTCTTCAAGTGTGCTGTGCTATGCTGGGGGGCTCGGGGCTTATCGCCCGTAGTGGACTGGCTGGTCAGGCCAAGCAGTTACAATAATCTACTCGAGTATTGTATCGTAGTATTGGAATGTTTTCCTGTATTGATTTCTGCTTTCATGATGGTTTCGGTGCGTGGAGTGTTTGTTCCCAACCGCCCGAGGGGAAGGGATACTGTAACCTAGGAAGCGAAAGCTTGGTCTTCGTGAAATTCTCTCTTCTTTTTTTTTTTGGAGGGGGGGAGGGGGAAACCTTAGATCCAGGCTTCGTCTCTCCCACTCGTTTGTGAGGGTACGAGTAGGATATGAGGATGACCCCAGCACCCTATAGGTAAATTAAATCCATTCTGTCCAGTCACCGAATTGACAGCGAGGCTTTCGGGATTCGAAGTGCCCCCCTCTTTTAATTTTGCCACACACTCTCTCCAGTTTGGCTGGAGTTCATTATGATATATTTGATAATATTTCTTCTTCCCGTTACGGTACTCGCTGAGGTTTTGGATATCCTGCTGGGCGGCCGGAGGTCCCTTTCTTGTTCCGCCCTCCCTCCCTCTCTCTCTTCCTTCCTTCCTTCGTTTCGGTGCTCTCTTGCTTGCTTGTGGGTGATTTCCAATCATGGGGACTGATGGGTTTCTGGTTCGCTTTATTAATTCGAGTCTTGTTCCGAGTAATGTGAGGTTTTAGTGATTGTGTGAGGTGTAGGGCGTTCTCCATACTTGTACTCCTCTGTAATGGATTTTTTTTTAAGGGATAGAGGTTGGAAATAATTTATCTAGAACTCAGTTATCGTTCTCTCTCTCTCTCTCTCTCTCTCTTTTTTTTCTTTCCCTTCACCACTCTTACTACGCCAGCGTTCCCTGCTGCTCCTTACTCTCAAAGGTTGTTGTGAATCTCAAAGGTTGTTGTGAAACCGGTTCACTCGATCCTCTTCCGCTTCCTTTTCATTAACCGACGTTGTTTTTCTTTTCTTCACACACCCTTATTTCCCTTTCCTTCCATTCGGCGGCAAAACGGGGTCAATTACTGGCTTCTGAGAGATTTAATTCCCTTGGCAAATCGGTTTTGGGAACTCCTCTATCCCTCTTGCAATATTCTGTTGCCCCTTTCCGCCCGGAGGCTCGAGTGATTCCTTGCACCCCCCCCATTCATCATTGTGTGATCCACAGGCGCAAACAACACCACCACCAAACCACTGCATTCTACTCGCCACTGACCAATCACGCCCTCTAACCATTGCTGGGCCCCCCGACATTTCCTCCCCTGCCTCTCTGCCCTCTGAGTCTTTTCGCTGTGAAAGGTGAAGCTTCCTTTCCCTATTACTATCATTATTATTGTTGTTATTCTTTTGACCCCCCCTCTCTCTTTTTCTACCCTCATCTTTTCCTCTTCTTGATATTACTCGCTACGGTACTTTATTTTGACCCGCTTGGTGCTTTCCCGTGAATATCTTTTTCTCTAAAACACCCACATTTCTGAGTCGTTGGTCGTCTCACCTAACCTAACCTACTCCTCTCGCACCTACCGGGACTGTACCCATCACCCTCACACTCCAACGCCGACCGACTTTCATCATCAGAACCTCCTCGCCTCACCTCACCTCACCTCACCTCACCTTCTCTAAACGACCTCACCTCACCCTAACCTTGAACCCTTCCATCTCCCATATTCCTCCACCTCAGATTAGGGTAGCTTTTCCATCTCTCAGTGCCCCCGGCCACGGTATTTGCCCTTCCTTTCCCTTTCCTCCTCCACTTCCTTGCATGCTTTCCTTAGACACACTGCCTACAGTACAGTAATAGTATTATAATACACACACTCGCACACTCGCACACACGCTCCCTTCCCTCCCCACACATTCCTTCAGCCTTTCCCTCTACTTTCTTTGGTTGATGTTAAGGCGATTAAATCACCTTACTACCTGTTGCACTGGAACATACTACTCTTTCTGCTGCGTCTCCGTCCGTTTCGTGCTGTGCTGTCTGTGCCTTGCTTGGAAATATCCTTCTTGTCACCCCGATTCTAGTTGGCTGATCTCATTTATTTCCTCTCCTGCTCCGTAGAACAACCATCGTCTTCAACCACCCCACTGCCCGCCCACGCCTACTCATCCACGCCAGCAGCTGAAGCAACCGCAACACTCTCCCCCCTACTGATACCTTGTTCGGCCTCTTAGGCTCACCTTCTAATCCGCTTTAGCCGCCTTATTTCTTCCTCCGGTCCGGTGCACTAACGACGGATTCTTTTTTCTTTCTCTTCATACCGTGCTCGGGTCCATTCACCTGGGAGCTCGGTTGGTTCACTTCGAAGCTTCCTACTTATCCATTCTATAACTCTCTGCGAGCAGTTTGCCTTCTTCCAGCCCTGTTCTCTTAGGTCTGTGATTGCAATGATACCGGTCCAAATTTTTTTTTTTTTTTAGTGGTTGCAATTATCAACTAACTGGATGCTTTAGTTCGCTTCCTATACTCTAGCTATGCGAGAAGTAAACTTTAGTATTCCCAATGTCAACAAGGCTTCTGTCAGTATTACCACGGCTCTATACGACCGACGCGCATTAGACTGCACGTCGACATTACCTCTTATAAATTCTCTGAACCATTTGGCATACCTCACTACATCTTCAGCTCGCATCAGGGATATCCTTACGGTTGATGGCGGTGTGGAACGGCTTGTTTGCATCCTGAAGGCGGGGAGGAGTAAGGATTTGATGAGCATGTGGAAATGGAACCTGGCCTTCCAATGCGTAGTGAATATCGGTGTCCGGGGGTCGGAGAATGTACGAACGAGAGTGGTGGAGGCCGATATGGTTCCGGTGATTGCGACAATATTAGACAACTACGTTCAGGTTATCGACAAATTACAGTCAAAGGCCGAGGCCGCAAGTGCAAAAAAGTCGGTTTCAGGCAACAGCACTAGGTCGAGGGAAAACAAGATTCACTCTTCTTTTTACGAGAGAAACGATAGGTCAAGTGGTGGTGAGCGAAGTTTTCGTAGACAGGCGCCTCCACCGTCGATCGAAATTCCGGCTCCTATTTCTCAACACCGTGTAGAAACTCGAGGGGAATCGATCTCCGCTAATCCACGACACACTTTGCCGGTTCCTGGCCCCTCGGAGAGAGTGGCTTATGCTCGCCAGTCACACAATCATGGCCGAGCACATGATGCTCGCCATCATTTCCATACTTACCATTCTGGTACCCAGGCACGTGATCAAGGTGGATTGCAGCCTTTGGCTGCGGCGCTTCCTGCCATAGATATGGGTGTTGGCGCTTTTGGTCTAAGGCCGGTTCGTGATGTTGATCGATTGCCCTCTATGCTACAGGCCGGTGGGCCTTCACAGCCAGAGTCGCCAACCACACCCAATCCACCCCCTCCCGCGTCTTCTCATAGAGCATCACGTCGTGGCAGTAGGCCATCTATTCGTCATCAGCGCTCTATTTCGGGAGAATCCGATGACGCCGGTTCGGATGAAAACTCGGTCCCTTCTGGGGGTATGGGTAGTGGGAATGAGCCAATTGTTGGTATACAGACTGGAGAAGATGGCCGTGAGCCGATTATTGACTCTGTGGATACCCCCATGGCAATTACCGGTCCCCATGGTACAGATGGTCAGGACGCTGAAACATTTAATATCACACACCGATCTCCTATAGATGGTAGCATTATTAGCCCAACCGCCAATGCTAGCCCAGCAATCGGTTTCTCACCTAACCCCCCAACCGTTAACCCAGCTTTGGCTATTCCCTCCTCCTTTCAGATTCCCACTCGATACCTTGCTGATAACTCATCTGTTGTCCTACCTTCAATGCCCCAACCCGAGGATGTCTTGATGTCACTGCAACTATTAGCTTATGTTTCAAAGTACTGCAATTTGCGTTCATACTTCCAGAAGTCCCATTTGGTACCAAAACTTTCTATAGGTCGCGAAATCCACCTACTCGACGATGACCCGAATATCTTTGGCGCTAAATCTCAACCAATTCCGCTCACCGAGGAGGAGGAGGAGGAGTATCTCTTGCCCGATGACTATAACATTTTCCCACTTGTCGAGAAGTTCACCGTCCGTCACCATGCCCCTGACATGCAATATTGGGCCGGAGTCGTTATTTTGCTACATCTATGAAAAGGCCCACCTGCGCCTCATATAGGCTGCTCG